TTCTTGATTAGTTCAAATCAGGAGATTACTGTTGTTTTAACACAGACTGGCACCACTGCAACCAAAATGTCTTCTTTATGAGGTGAGTTAATGAAACAAATGGATCAGTCACCTTGTGATACAACATTCATCCCCTCTGTTGCATGACGGTGTGATAGTTAAAAATCTTTCATCTCACCTTTACCAGCCATTTAATTTTATACAAATCTGTACAACTCTTAAACGTCCTCATCCTGACCACCCCTCAGTGGTTAAAAGAGAACTCATTTCATTCCTTGTTGCTAAAACAGATTCTGAGGTCAGATTTCATTGAGTCAGAGGGTACAGCAACCGTGGCAGTTTGTAATGAAACAACTGAAACCTTTACATTTTGACTTTATTCTCAAAATGATCAATAATATTTTTTTTCTCTCAATATGATCCTAATTCTAATGGTAGCCTCATAGTAATTTCTATTACTCTTTCTCTTCGCATTCCTCAGATTACTTTACAGTCTTCCCCTGCTGTGCCCTATTTCCTGCATTAGATTAGATAAACACACTGGATACACAAATAGAATACACATAAAACATTTCCTGTATATTATAGTATACACTTGTAATAGAATTAAATAATACTTGTGTGGATTAGAAGCAGTCTTAAAAAGCTAATAAAAAAGCAACAACAGTGGGGTTTTTTTTTTTTTGCATATTAGTGTTTGGTAGGGGGTTGTCTGATTGTTTGGGTTTTGTCTCTATTGTTGCAGGTTATTTACGGTATAATATAAAGTGCCATTAGACGATTGCTGTTGTGATTTGGTACTATATGAATAAAATTGAATTGAATTGAATAAAATTGAATAGCAAGATAAAAGTTACCGCTTGTGTGTTCAATAGTAAATACTTAAGTATAGAAACAATACTGAAACAATTACAATTCAGCATGGAAATTCTGTATTACTTACTCTGTATATGCATGTTTGCATTTATATTCATTAAAGTTTATGTAACAGTTAATCAGTTGTCAAGCTTATTTATGCATGTATTTACATCATTGTTCATTTGACCTAAATTTAGGAGGCATATTTGTGGAGTGGGGTTGCTGCCTTATATAACTATCACAGAACATACAGACACATAGAGAGTCGACAGAGGAGAGGCACAAAGAGAGAAAACTAGATAACAAAACACTCATAAGGCTGCTGTTCTTTTTAAATTGTTGTAATCGGCTTAGTCTTAAATTTAAAATTTTCATGGATGACTGAAAAGACTTTATACTGATTTTTAGTTTGTTTGCGTAATAGTTTTGAAACTCATCCAATGCAGAAACTTGAAAACCAGGAACCCCCCACAGAGAATCTTCATTGTGCTTCAGTCTGCAGCTTCACTTCCTGCAGCATGTAAATGCTCTATATATGTTTTGCAGGTGCTGACACGCCTTCATGGCTCAGACTGGTTACACTAACAGAGCAGAGTTCAGATGTATTAGATTCCTCATGACTTACTGTTAGCACTGTGTTCTTTTAATGCTTTAACACTAAAAACAATGAGCTGAACCTCATTTCCCTCATCACTATTTTGCAGATCTGACCATGTGCTCGTCTGAATATCAAAGTATTCTTGAGTCAAATTTGAGGCCATGTTTATGACAGCTAAAACTTGCTCTTCACTGGGTCATGAGACCGTGTCATTCAAAGTAATTCTACAACCTACTCCATCGAAGTGTTTTTGTTAATTGCATCTTTGACACTGTGTAATATATCATTTGTAGTTATTTATGTTAGAGTTGCATCATAGTCATTCTATTATGTAAAGTGTTTCCATAATTTTTACAAGTTTGTTTCTTTGTTTTTTATTCTTGTTTCTGTTAATTTATAGAATTCTGTTTATTTCTGTTCTGTTCCCTTTATTTATAGTAATCTGTAGCCTGCATGGTAAAACGTGAAGGGTCCAGAAATTCCTGACTGAATATAACAGAGCTGTAAACAACTGAGCCTCTGACTAAATTTTCACTCACTCTGA